AGACCTGAGTGACTGGCAGAGTGCCTGCCCCAAGAGAAAGAAAGGGACTTCCCCCCCAGGTGTAGGGGGGAAGAATTCAGCACTGGGCTTCTGGTGTTTGGTGACAGTGACGCATCAGAATAGAAAAGTCTAGTTCTCAATGGGATGAAAGGAACTAGAAGTCACTTGAGACCATTGAGTTGGAGATAAGTGGGAGTCATCAGCTCAAGGGAGATAATTAACGTTCCTGAGAAAATAAATGTGAAAGCTTTTATAATGCATTAGCGAAAGTGTTTTTTGGTTTTATAGCCAAGAGACCTCAATGAAATGACCTCATCTCTTTTTTAGAAGTAGATAGAATGGAAGCTAATCATATATTTTAACAATTAATGTTTTCATTAAAAGAAATGAATGTCGATCACAGCAATTGATGACGGAATACAGGGCCCTTGACCTTCTGAAATACTCTGTCTGTAGTCACATCTAATCTATTCTCTCAGTCCAGAGTTTATTCCTCTGGTGATTTTGTACTGTGTCGATTTAGGGAAGCTGGAAGTACGTTTCCCGGCAATTCCTTCCTGTAGTTCTGGGTAAGGGTCTGCAGGAAGAGAAGTTTGCATGAGACTTGGAAGGCCAAAGTGGCACCTCAGCCCTGTGCTTGGGGGCTGGCGCAGGGACCGAGACGTCACTGCAGCTCACGCATTTTGTGATCTGCTGTTCTCCTTGTTGCTGCTGCCAAAGCTCCTCCAACTTCTCCCAGTATCAGGCCAGGCACATTGTCAGGGACCTGGAGAGAAGGTCACTAGTTTTTCTGCAGGTTGCCTGCGTCCCCGGAATCAACGTGATGAGAGACAGACGTGGGCTTCAGTTTCTTTGCACGATTCCAGTTTGTCCTAGAGGGGCCGTTGTCTTTGCGTCCCCCTGCCTGAGTGCAGCTTTTCCTCTGGCCTGCCCTGGTGACCTGTAGAGACTTCAGGCCACAAGCAGATGCGGTGGCAACAGCCTTCCACAGACTTCTTCACCAGCTCCCCTTTGTGGCCCTGAGGAGTGACTTTCTCCTTCTCCTCTCACCATCTCCTTCCAGACCTTTACTTTCTCAGCGTCTCCCACAATCGTGCGACGTCTGATCCCTGAAGAAAGTGCTTGTCCCGTACCCCTCACAGTGGCTCAGCTTCCCTGATAGAATTGCTCACGCCGTCTTGTTATCCAGGGCTCTCTGGACCCAGCCTCCCTTTAACTGACTGCACTGTGTGCATTTCATTTATTCTCAAAGGACCATTAGCTATCAGAAAAGGGTGATGAAGTTTTAAAATGCATCTTAATATTTTTAAATGCCTTCACGACAGACTGAGAACAAGTATTACAGTACTAGCTACCGTGAGGTCTGGGGACGCTCTCTCCGGGCTTCAGGTGCCTGACGCCGGGAGCCTCCAGAACCGCACCCAGAACTGGCCGGCTCCAGTGGTTGAGTGAGAGAGAAAGAAACTCGTGTCTTGTTGAAGCCATGGTTATTTTGGTCTTTGTTATAGCTGAGCTTGAATTCTAGCCAAGATATACATTAAACATTATCTTGATTAAGGTCAGTTATTCAAGTAAACGCACATCAAAGACACCTGTATTCTTATCATTGTCCTTCTCTATTATCTTGTAGTTCAGGCTTATACATGTACGTGCTCACATACCTGGTAGAGCTTCAGAAAAAGAGAGACTGTCTCTTATCTTGAATAAAATGCAGAGTGGCCCATTTAATAGCCTCACGCGATGGATAATGATACGCTATTTTCATTCATTATGACTTCTAGTGTATCTTCTTGGAGAGACCGAACTAAAAGTAGTTACCATTGACTATCAAGACCAACACAGGACTGCCTAGTCTTGTCCTGGACTAGGGATGAACCCTGAATTCCAGAGGACAAGAGAGGTCTTCATGTATTTGAACAAGTCACTTAACTTCTCTGTGATTCAGTGTCTTCATTTGTAAAATTTGATGAATACCCTTCGTTTGTAGGCTTGTTGGGAAGGTAAGATGAAGTACTCCAAAGTATGTCATGACTTCCCAGCACAGTATTTGACATACTAGGTGTCAATAAGTGTTTAGTTGAATCTAAAGCTTAATTATATTTTAAAAGAATTAGTGTAGAATACTATTTAAGGAATCCTAAGGGGTAAATAACAAACAGCCTCCAGTAATTTTTTCCAGAATCAGATGGAGTTTCCTGAAAAGGGGACTCTTGCTCTAATACAACAATGTATCCAACAATATGTAGCGAGTGAGGATTTGCCATGTTTTCTAAAGTTGCACAGAAAGAAAGGAGAGAATGGCAGCATGAGCATGGGAGGACTCTGACCGTGAGTAGGTTGGTTCCAGAAGTTTAAGATCAATGTCTCTCATATTATAATATTTGTTGTGTCATCATCTCTGCCAGCCTGAAAGGGTCTCTGAATTAAAATGAAGAGGGCATCCTTTTCTTTCTGCTGACCTTTTCTTAGATTCTTAGTTGATTCTCTCAGAAGATTGGATCAAGACAATTGATGTAAAAAGGAAATATCTGTAGTTTTATGATGAATACACAGGAAAAAAAAAGATGCTGGCAAAGGAAATCAATGGAACAATAAATACCACCTGCAGTTCATCAGATGAGCAAAACTTATTGCACTTACTAATATAGAAAAGTTCACAAACAAGGTTAAGTTGTTCCTGGGCACAAGAGAGCACTCATATCTTGCCCTTCTGATACACTTTAAAGAGTTTCTGAAAATAAAGATATAAGATGCTTGCTCAGATTTCGTTAGCCTTATGTTTCAGAACAATCACATAAGTATTTTACGGACTGCATGTTTGTGCCCCGTCTGAAATTCATATGTTGAAACTCTAATTCCCAGTGTGATGGTACTTGCAGATGGGAACTTTGGGAGGTAATTAGGTCATCAGCGTGAAGCCCCCCATGATGAGATTAGTGCCCTTATAACAAGAGACACGAAAGAGCTAGCTATTTCTCTCTCTCCCTCCCTCTCTCCCTCTCTTTGTCTCTCCCTCCCTCCCTCTCTCTCTCCCTCTGCCATGTGAGGACACAGCAAAAAGGTGACCATCTACAAACCAGGAAGCGGGCCCTCACTAAGAACTGAATCTGCCAGTGCCTTGATCCTGGGCTTCCCAGCCTCCAAACTGTGCGAAATAAATGTTGGTTGTCTAAGCCACCCAGTCTGTGGTAATTTGTTATAGGAGCCCAAACTGACTAAGACCGAGTATTTCACAGGTACACACTCAAGATAATTGAATTCTGAAATAATGGTAGAAACATGTTTCCAGGTAACTGTTCATTAATGATAGTATTTATCATTATTAAATCTTAAAAAGCAGAGTCAGGGTTCAGAAACAAGTCAGAAAGATCAGATATTGATGGTGTTGTAGTGTTTACTCTATCTACCCATGCACAGTCCCTTATGGGGAAATCTGTCTACTCATAGTGCCGGAAGAAGGGCCAGTTTCTGGTCATCCATGTTTTGGCCCAATCTTGCCCCAGCTGATTAGACTAGAACAACCACCTATGAGTTGACAAAGCAAAGAGCAAAGTCAATCAGATTCCGTCTCTCACTCTGTAATTTGAACAAATCAGTATCTAGAGAATGATCTCACTTAGAAGTGGGAGTAGACTGAAAGCCTACTGAAAGCCATGTGCAAGTCCAGTTATTAATTAACTGAGACTAAGCTGGCCAAACCTGCTTATTGCTGACCAGAAAGAAGCAGACACAGGGAATGCAGCTTTCTCCATTCAAGTGTAAGCTCTTTGAAGACAGGGACAGTATCTGTCTTGTTCATGACTGTTTCTCCAGCATTTAACGTAGTTCTTGGTTATGAAGAAATTAGTCACTCAACACATATCACTTCAATGAGTAGTTAACAGTGGATCACTAAAGCAGCCCCAAAGTGACTTTCTTCCCAAAAACATTGTCCAGTTCCCAGCACCAGAATCCTACATTTGTCCATGAGATTCCTTCTCCTTCAACATAGCCTGTGTCTTCTTCTTGTTCTTAACCTCCAACACTTCCCTTTATTTGAACAAGTTTGTCTGGTCCTTGATCTGTGTAAACAAAAGTTTCGATACCAACTCTGTAAGAGAGAGGGAGAGAGGGAGGAAGAAAGGCAGAAGGAGGGAGAGAATGAGAGGGAGAGAGGTAAGGAGTGGGAGTTGAGGATGGTAGAGAGAGACAAGCCTTAAATTTTAAACACTTAATTTTCTAGTGAGATGTACAAAAGACCCTTCACAACTTCCCTAAAGAGAGGTTTAGACTTCCGGTGTGAGGCTAGAAGACTAGAGAACTGCAACAAACAACTGATTCTAGAGAGTTTGCTCAAGAGAAGTGTTTAAACTTGGTCATTGGAGTAGACAAACTACGTCAAATAAACAAGCTCGTAGCTCTCTCTCTGTAAACTGTATTGTGTTGAATGGGAGTAACTTGACTCGCATTCTCCTGCTTAATAAAGTGCCCAGGGAGGTTACTCTAGTATTTACATAAACTTAAAGAAATAATGCATCCTTCTTCCCAACCCGTAATTCCCTTCTTCTTTACTATCGCTCGAATCCATCCACTATTGTGTCTTTAAGAAAATCTAAACACTTGATTTTCTTTTCTTCCACTTATGAAGAAATTCAGGAATGATATGGAGAAAAATGTTATCCTAATAAACTTTGCTTTCATAAAACAATATATTCTCTTGGGCAATAAATATCTTTCAGGTCTGATTCATCTCTAATCAACTGGTGTTAAAGTATCCTCATGCAACAGATAAGGAGACTAATCCTTCGGGTGAATACGAGCCCTGCACATTTCACAAAGCAGACAAGCCAAGCATACTTTCCACATTAGCAGAAACATCAGGTGACTAATGTTATCCCTGTCTTGCTTTTAGTAGTTCCATATGTGAGATACTATAGCACTACGATGCTCTGACTGATCAAAAGCAATACATTAATATTCATAAGGGGAGAGGGGGAAGGAATAAAGAATAAAATACTTACTTGGTCCCAGACCGATTGAAAAAGCAGCAACATAAGCAAGCAAGCTGGCTAAGGACAGCCATTTCAGAAAAGCTGGGACGCCCTCAGGGTCTGTGACTATCTGGTGTGCAGTCTGGCTCAGTCCAGCATTTGGTGAGGATGTGGAGGTCATCTCCCCTCTCTTATCCACGTCATTTCTCATGGGCATTAGTGAGCTTCCACTGGGGGAAGTGATCTCCTTAAAGGGCTCTCTAAGATTGTCACTGCTGGCCGACAGGTTTACTGGTCCATAAAACACAGACTCATCCAAGGACTGGTTGATAGGACTATGGCTTCTGCAGATACTGGTGAAGTTCATGTTGATATGGAGGTTCACGACGCCCATGGTCACCAATGAGGCTGCCATCACAGAGGAGCCCACGCAGAGGAAGGTTTTGCTTCCTACATGGTCTACAAGAAGAGTGGCCGGGATGGTACTGACGACCTTGACAACCCCAACCCCCGTGGAGGCAAGGCTAGCCACCTCATTGCTTTGGAAGCCAACAGACTTCAAAACAGTTGATGCATAGAATAATATATTTGGCTGGCCAGTGATTTGGACAAAAAACACCAGTGTTAGGCCTATCATTATTCGGGTCCTCATGTTGTCCTTTGAACGAAACAGATCCCAAAAACTATACTGATATTCATCTTTCAGGGAAGATTTGATCACAGTGAGTTCCTCCGTTGTATCTGAGATGGTTCTCAACCTCCTGAGAACATTGCTAGCAGCTTCCTCCTGTCCTCTCATCACCAGAAACCGGGGACTTGGAGGAAGAAAGTACATTGCAATCGCCTGCAGAACTCCCAAGGGAATAACAAGGCCAAACATGTACTTCCAGCCCTGGGAAACATTGGCAAATGCATAATTGGAAACGTAGGCAAAAAGGATGCCGGTGACAACCATCAGCTCGTTTAGTGACACAAGAAGGCCTCTTCTGTGCTGTGGAGCAATCTCTGCAATGTAAACACAGGTGGCGATTGAAGAGAGAGAGATGGAAACCCCTATAGCGATGCGTCCCACTATAAGGACCGAGTAAGATAAACTGAGTATCAAGACCAGGCTTCCGAGTCCAAGGAGGCAGGATGACAGGATGATTGCAGGCCTTCTTCCGAACCTGTCAATCAGGACCCCTCCGGTGAGAGAGGCGAGTAAGGCCCCAATGAGGAGCGAGCTCACCACCATTTCTTGCTCATGGCAGGTCAGGGCCAACAAGGTCCTTATCTGAAGAAGAGCCCCAGAGATAAGCCCGATTTCATAGCCCATCAGGAGGCCACTGACGGCAGCAGTGACAGCCGACAGGAGGGTGAACGTGCCACAACCTATGAGCAGAGAGGAGAACCAGGGATCAGTTCTGACTCGTTATTTTAAACGTTTTATGTCTGAATGGAGACCTAACCTTGTATAAGTACCTTTTTCATAGCACCGAGTATAAACACACACATAATTATACTAAATAATGTACTAACCAAAAATGATTAGATATAGAAGGAAAAATCCTTTTTGTTTTTGGGAAGAGAGCAGTGGAGACATGTAGAAAGTCATTTCCTTCTATTATGTGATGTTGATGTTTTTAGTTTCGAGTGGACAGCTATGCAAGAGAAGCAGACGGCAGATGCTGAAGACTGGACAAACGAGAACACCGTCTGGGGCCTGCCTGGGCACTGGATCAGAAATCCCGAGGGCAGCTCCTCGGGGCCCACTGCAGTGCCCTGCGGGCAAAGCCATGAGGGCAGGAGAGTGGGCAGGGGCCTCCAGAGGTGCTGCAGGCTCCCGTTGTGGAACCTGGGGAAATAATTTTTGGCAGCAGGTACATAGGTGTTTGTTATGTGTTTGTAACTTGTCAAAACAAAACCAAAACAGAACAGAAAGTAGCCGAGGGAAGAGCGTTGCGGGCCCAGCAAACAGCCGTCTCCAAGGCCTGCGGACGGGAGCGCCCCCTGAGGTGACGCCAGCGAGCGCATCCCGTGTGGGGAGCGTGAGCTGGGAGGTGGGTGGGAGAGGGCATCCCGTGAGTGTGGGTAGGGATGGAGGGGGCGCTTCCTGCAGGGCCGCGCAGGCCGCAATGACAGCTTGTCATTGTATTCCAAGTATAACGGGGTCGATGCCCATGAGTGGGAAGAGGGCACTGAGTTTTGGTTCTATGTGGAGTCCTGTCTGGTAGCAGGGAGGAGTTTGCTGCCTCAGTCTGGACAAGCGATGATTCCAGCTTAGACTTGGCGTGACGCGTGGAACCCAAGACAAGCAGGCAGATTCATGAGTTAATTTGGAGGTAAAAACGGCTACACTTGCTCGGGAATTGGAGTTGGAGGATAAGGAAGTGGGTCAGAACCCAAGAGGGCTCCATGGTTTGAGCAGTTGGTTGGGTGATTTTACAACATTCAATACCTTGCACCCAGGTGTCTCTGCCACACAGCGCGACATACTGACCCAGGGAGGACTGGGAGGGGGACCGCCATGGGTGGGGTAAAGGAGGAGTGCGAATCAGAGGTTCCATTTTAGACTTACTGAATGTCTTGTTTTACCTGTAGACATTCAGATACAAATGTCCAGTAAGGGACTGAGTGTACAGATTGGGAGCCTGAGAGGTAGGTCAGGGCTGGAGATACACATTAGGGATTCAGCAGCATGTATTTGGTCTTGAAAGCCAAGGGAATGCACTTAGTGAGAGAGAATGGAGAAGGAGCCGCATGAACAGGACGTGACCAGGGAATCCCAACAGTTAGAAGAGGAGACCATAGCCTAGGGCTGGAGAAGCTACAGAGCTGAGAGGTGTGTAGAATGGACTAGAAACATGCGCTTGGGCACACAATTATCACAGGCTGAGCTAAGGCTATTTAACTGGTGGGGGGTCTGGTTAAAAATGCTGCTCAGTTCTAGTGAAGTGAGCAGGTCAAACAAAGCTGATCTAAATCTCTTCCCACCACAAATATCCAAGGTATTTAAATCTCCAGGATCTTGGCGGGATATGCGAGCTGGGAGACTCCAAAAAATAAATAAAATGAGGATCGAATATTTAGGTGGAGGAGCAAATAAAAATGCAACAATTCACAAGAAAATCAAACTGATGAACTTTGCAAACACAAACCATTAAATTGAAATTAAATGGGCAATTTATCCAGCTAATCAGAAAACAAATTTTTAGCACCGTTACACAGCAGGCATCCTCCTAGGTACTGAGGGCTATGAATATAGAAATGAAGCAAAGCAGATGTGGTTCTTGCCCCCAAGAAACTTAACATTCTGGTGATAGCTCTACGTTTTGTTATTTATTATGCACTGTTTTAATTTTTACAGGCAAAATGACTCTGAAGTGCTCTCTTATAGCTTCCCTCATGTCCTCAGTTTCCACATATTCATTTCCCAGGTGATCTTAAAATCCTCAACAAGTTCCTCCACCACAAATTAGGTCAAATTCTCACATCTGGATAAGAGTATCGTATTGCTTCGTATCCGTACTTGTCTTTGTTCATTTTTTCTATGTCTGACTGTTGATTAGCATGTGTGTTTTGACAATTGGTCTCTGATATTCAGATTGGAGAAATAAGTGACTTTGGAGAACGAAACACATGGGAGGCAGATTGAGTGAGGCCCCCAGAGAGGGGTTTCAAGCGACAGAGGGCAGAGTGGGACACTGAGTCAAGGACGTAGGGGAAGAGGTGCCAGAACTGCTCGAGCAGCAGGAGGTTGTCCTTGCCACTCTGACTTTCTCCTTCACCTTCTCATTTTCCCCTTTTGTTAGATGGGAAATTGTGCTTCTCTACAAAAAGAAAGATCCCGTGAGGCACAAGAGTCCCTTCCCTTGCGCCTCTACTACCCTACTTTAGAGAGAGTCTGAGGCGGGGAGTTGAGGAGGAGTAGGGGTGAGGGGCGAGGCAAGCCACAAAGCCAGCCTCTGGTGGTCCTGGGGAAGTCTCTCCTGACAGAAGTGGCATCCAGCTCCTTCTTGTGCTTTCTGGACTTAGCTTCATGTGCCTAGTTCTTTCAGCCAGAGTTCATAGGACACTGACAAAGTGGGATGTGTTCAAAGGGTCTGCAAACCCTTCCAGTTTCTCAATGTCCCTCTCGAGACCCAGCAGCTAGCACTGAGTATAGTTCTTCAGAGACATAATACAATTATTTCCATAAGAATTTGTAAAAAAAATTTAGAAAATTACAATTTTAAAAAAATTTTATATATCACACCATTATCTATCTATCTATCTGTCTATCTATCTATCTATCTATCTATCTATCTATCTATCTATCTATCTTTCTAGGGAATTTGACTTTAAAAGCTTAAAAAGTTCTACTAGGACGTTCTATGACTCTATTCCCACATGGTGAGCATAGCAACATGGGTTATACACTGCAGAGAATTAAGCCAAGGTCTTCATTGTCTGAATTTTATTTGAGGGGTGTATCTCCCCCGTTATATGCTTTAAGGGGTACTGCCCAAAACTAGCTTCTCCCCTCATCTCATGACTGTTGCTGATAACTGCTGGAGTCTCATTATGATCCTCAAGCTGCCAAGCCAGGATTCTGAATTCGAATTCAGTGTGGAAGGCTAGTCCCTGATGCTTCCAAGATTGCAGCCCTGTGATACCTCAGGACTTCCACCACAGGAAATTTTCCTGGTGCCATTTTACCACATAAAAACAATGAAGAGAGACATAAAGAGTGGGCTTTCTCCTGTGTCTACTTTTTGGTTGATGCTGATAGAAGCGAGATGGCATCCTATGGACGACAGAAAGTAGAGAGAACTTTTCCAAGAAATCTGGCAGGGAGTGGGAGGAGAGAGAGAGGATGTGGCAGGGAGGTGGGGTTTATGCTTGTCTAAACATGGATGGGAGAGTCTGGGGCAGCTGGAAGGATGCAGGAAAGGCAGCCAGTGCCAAAGGAGAGGGCAGGTGGGGAATCATAATTAGTGCCTTTTCAGTAAACCCACAGCCTCGCAGTCAAACAGTCTGCACTTAACGCTCGTGATGAAGGTCAGCATTCCCAGCCATTTTACTCCATTTACTGTGAAGCAAGCATGGCCTTGCTTCACAGGGGCCCTTCCTGTACATCCGTTTTCCCCAAAAGTGTCACAGGGAACTCTCAGCCTTTAGTGGACATCACAAGAGTGGCAACTATCTGGAGACTTGCAACTGGTACCCACAGGCTGTTGGGTTACTGCCTGTGTCTGGCTGCTTTGCTGGAAGACCAGCAGTGTTCCTTTTGATGCACTGATGCTTCTTTAATAAGGTAGTAAAGTAAAACTGGTCCCTCGGAAGACGTGGTCACAACCAAGAAGCTTTATGCAAACGAGCGCTGAGACCCTCAGGGGGGCGGGGCACAAAGGGCAGGCAGACTGAGCAGCCACCAGACAGTGGCTGCATTGTCTGTGCTCTGGGTGACTCAGATGAAAGCACGGCCGGAACAAGCACCGACACGAGACACTCACTTCTCACAATATCTGAGTTTCTGCCTGTTTTCTCCTCTCCCTTCTCCGTGTGCCTGTTGCAGCAGTGAACGCTCTCCGGCTGACTCCATCCTACTGCAGCCTGAAGAGCTGGACGCACGGAGTTTTTTTTTGGCAGGGGGCCAGGCTATTATACAGCTTGACCAACTGTGAACGCCTCACCAACTTAACAGACCCTCTACTTTATGTTTTGCTTAAGAAAACCTTGCAGGGGCCCCCCAGTGGCCTCTGCCCCTTCTCCCCGGACACCTAAAATCCCTACCCATCCCTCAGGAGTCATCTCAAGTGCCACCTCCCTTGTGAAGACCACCCTGCTCTGCCTCGTGCTGCTGTCCCACCCCGAGCCCTGTGCTCCTACTGTGCACACAGTGTGTCTTCAGAGCACCTGTCACACAGTCAGGCCCTCATTTATGTCCTGTTGGTCTTCCCCTATTAGACTGGAAGCTCCTTGAAGGCAAGAAGCTTACTTTCTTTATGAGCTATCTGTATTCTCACCTCCCATCTCTGGCACAAGGGAAATGCTCAATGAATGTTTGTTGAGTGAATGAATGAATGATAGCACTCCCAAATACTGATCCTTGGTCCCCTCCTCCCATGTTCTGTCAGCAGACTAAGGTTAATCCCTAGTACGTTGTAGCGGTTAGCATATAAAACTCTGTATCTACATAATGCTTAGCACACTCTTAGCGTGTCCACGAAGCTCTCGGCAAGATGATTAGCCTGTTAACACCGCACCGCCGCAGAGGCCACACAGGGCCTCGCTGCATTAGCAGTCAGCCCTGTGTGGACCTGTCCTCGAGTCCTCGGACTCTGTGGTTAGTGGTCCCCTTCCAGTGGACCAGGTTTTCAGATTCCACCCCAGTCTCCAGGCACATTGTC